CATATATACACATTTCTTTGTGTGTATACATATATCTATATATTATATATATATATATATATATATATATATATATATATATATATATATATATATATATATATGCAAATATATATTTGCACGTGCGCACGCACATATAGTTAAGATGTATGTATATTATTATTTATCATTAAACGAACATCCTTTTTCCAATGATGTACATACCCTTACAGGAGCAGTTGAACAGCCTCATGACGACCCTGCACTCCACTCATCCCCACTTCGTCCGTTGCATTGTGCCCAACGAGACCAAGTCACCAGGTAAATCTCTTGTTTCTGGATTTATATGACTCCTTTGCTATTCCCGTGCATAAAGAGAGCGTGTTAATTATTATTCCATCATATAGGTGTCGTGGAGGCTGGCCTTATCATGCATCAGCTGACCTGCAATGGTGTACTTGAGGGCATTCGTATTTGCCAGAAGGGCTTCCCCAACAGGATGCAATACCCTGACTTCAAACACCGGTGAGTCTCATGTTGAAATGGCAAACCTAATTCAAAATGATTCACATGCATTAAATCTCGAGACAATTTTACGACTATGATACTTTCTCTCCATAGTTACAAGATTTTGGCCGCTGACGTCATGGCCACAGAAAAGGATGACAAGAAGGCAGCAGAAATGACATTCCAGAAATCTGGACTTGATAAGGAGTTGTATAGGTGCGGTAAGACAAAGGTATGTATTTTGTCTTACTTCAGGCGATCTGATAAATCGAAGTTCTGTGTTGAAATTCTTTGCAATGCATGTTATCTATACAGGTATTCTTCCGTGCTGGCGTCCTGGGTACCATGGAAGAGCTTCGTGATGAACGTTTGGCCAAGATCATCACTTGGATGCAGTCATGGATCCGTGGACTGATTGGACGCAAAGAATATGGCCGTCTTCAGGAACAACGTGTATCCCTTGTAGTTCTGCAGCGGAACATTCGCAAGTATATGGACATGAGCAACTGGTCCTGGTTCATCTTCTGGCAGAAGGTGAAGCCCCTCATCAACCAACCAAGGATTGAAGACGAGATCAACAAGCTCAAGGACAGGGCTGAGAAGGCTGTTGCAGACTTGGATCGCGAGTGTACTCGCCGCAAGGAGCTGGAAGAATCCAACGTGAGCCTTGCCGAAGAGCTGAATACCCTGAAGGAAACGCTTGAATCCACAAAGGGCAATGTTTCCAAATTCATTGAAGAACAGGCCAAGATTAGTGCAGCCAAAGCTGACTTGGAGGCTCAGCTCTCTGTAAGTAACTTGATCTTAATTGAATTTAATATGATGCCATATTGATATTTTTTCCAAAAGTATAGGAACAATGTGTATGATTATTAACAGTGGACTCCTTTTCTGTCCAATTCTAGGATGCTTCTGCTAGACTTCAGAAAGAAGAGGAAAATCGCACTGAAATGTTCCAGTTGAAGAGGAAAGCGGAGCAAGATGTCAATGCCATGAGGAAAGACCTGGAAGATTTTGAACTTAATGTTCAGAAGACTAACCAGGATAAGGCTCAGATCAGGAATATCAATGATGAAATATCTCACCAGATGATCACAAGGAAAAGAAACTTTTGCAGGAGATGAATCAAAAGACTGCTGAGGATCTTCAGGCCGTCGAGGAAAAGGCCAGCCACCTCAACAAGATAAAGGCCAAGTTGGAACAAACCCTCGACGAACTCGAGGGTTCCGTTGGACGCGAGAAGAAGCTTCGTGCTGAAATTGAGAGGTCCAAGAGGAAGGTAGAGGGAGATCTGAAAATGACCCAAGAAACTGTTGCTGACATCGAGCGCCAGCATAAGGACCTGGAGCAAACCATCCAGCGTAAGGATAAGGAAATCGGCAATCTTGCCAATAAACTGGAGGAGGAACAAGTGGTAGTTTCGAAGGTACAGAAGACAATCAAAGAAATGCAAGCCCGCATTGAGGAACTCGAGACTGAAGCTGAGCATGAGCGGCAGGCTCGTGCCAAGGCCGAGAAGGGCAAGGGAAATATGAGCCGTGAACTCAATGACCTCAATGAGCGTCTGGATGAGGCAGGCGGTGCAACAGGTGCTCAGGTTGAGCTCAACAAGAAGCGGGAGGCGGAGCTGGGTAAGCTTCGACGTGACCTCGAGGAAGCCAACATCCAACACGAATCAGCTCTTGCTAACCTTCGCAAGAAGCACAATGATGCTGTTGCCGAGATGACTGAACAGATCGACCATCTCAACAAGACGAAGGCCAAGTAAGTGATCATATTCCAAATGCGTTTGATGTGATTGTGCTTTACTAATTTACTATATTCTACATTTACACATGTATTGTATACAAACATTTTGTTTTTTATATATAAATTAGGACTGAAAAGGAAAAAGAGATGATGAAATATCAGGCCGATGAAGCTAAATCATATATCTCGTGACAAGGTAATATTGAGTGCTATATGTTATATGTCTATTTCTGTATTTGTCTGTTTATTCAACTGAAATAATATATTATATGTATATACACACTGCACGTGCATAGATATATTACAAATAACCAACAATTCATTAATTATTTCTGGTATTACACAAGCTAGATATCTTATTTTGCTTTTCAGGCACTTGCCGAGAAAGCGAACAAGACCATTCAGCAGCAAATCAATGAAGTTAATGTGAAGCTGGATGAAGCTAACCGCACTCTGAACGACTTCGATGCCCAGAAGAAGAAGCTCTCGTTGAGAACGGAGACCTTCTGCGACAGCTGGAGGAGGCTGATAATCAGATTAATCAGCTGAACAATTTGAAGTTGTCTCTTACCACTCAGCTGGAAGATACTAAGAAAATGGTTGATGATGAATCTAGGGTAAGTTGTGGTATGTTTATATATATAAACCTATTTGTTTATTTATGAATACATATTATAATAGATAGATTATTACATAGAAAGGAGACTGACAGAAAGAGAAAATAAGATGTATACACCACATAGGAGCGCGCGTTCTTCTTGGCAAGTTCCGCAACCTGGAGCATGATCTGGATGGTCTTCGTGAGCAGCTTGATGAAGAGTGTGAAGCCAAGGCTGATGCCAACCGCCAACTGTCCAAGGCTTATGCAGAGGCTCAGATGTGGCGCTCTAAGTATGAATCAGAGGGCGTTGCCCGTGCTGAAGAGATTGAGGCTGCCCGCCTGAAACTTGCCGCTCGCCTCGAGGAAGCTGAGCTGCAGATTGAACAACTCAATGTCAAGAACATGCAACTGGAGAAGGCCAAGGGACGCATCATTTCCGAAATCGACGAGATGCAGATGCAGGTAGAGCGTGCCCAAGGTCTGGCTAATGCTGCTGAGAGGAGGCAGAAGGACTTCGACAGAGTTGTTAATGAGTGGAAGATCAAGGTTGACCAACTGGCCACTGAACTTGATGCTTCCCAGAAGGAATGTCGCCAGTACTCCACTGAGCACTTCCGCATTAAGGCCGTGTATGAGGAAAACCTGGAACACCTGGACTCTGTTCGTCGTGAGAACAAGGGTCTCGCTGAGGAGATCAAGGACCTGATGGAGCAGATCAGTGAGGGTGGCCGCTCTCTTCATGAGATTGAAAAGAACGCCAAGCGTTTCGAGATCGAGAAGGAGGAGCTCCAGGCTGCTCTTGAGGAGGCCGAAGCTGCCCTTGAACAGGAAGAGAACAAGGTTCTTCGTGGTCAGCTGGAGCTGAGCCAAGTCAGGCAAGAGATTGATAAGCGCATTCAGGAGAAGGAGGAAGAGTTTGATGCTACTCGGTGAGTATTAGTAAATGTCTAGTACTTTATGTATTTAATAATTGATAATCAAACACAATCACATATTAACACATGCACATACATTTGTAAGACTGAATTGGAAAATTTACAGCAAATGCCACCAACGTGCAATCGAATCCATGCAAGCCTCACTTGAAGCAGAAGCTAAGAGCAAGGCTGAGGCTCTTCGTATGAAGAAGAAGCTTGAGTCTGACATTGGTGAGCTGGAGATTGCTCTCGATCACGCTAACAAGGCAAATGCCGACATTCAGAAGCAGGTGAAGAAGGCTCAGGCTGAGATGAAAGACATGCAAGCTCGTGTGGAGGAGGAGCAGCGTCTTGCTTCTGAGTATCGCGAGCAGTGCAGCGCCTCCGAGCGTAAGGCCAATGCTGTCAATGGTGAACTGGAGGAATCCCGCACTCTTCTGGAGCAGTCTGATCGCGGACGCCGTCAGGCTGAATCCGAACTGTCTGATGCCAACGAGACCCTTAGCCACCTTACAGCCCAGCATGGATCCCTGTCCATGGCAAAGAGGAAGCTTGAGGGCGAGATTCAGACTCTTCATGTAAGTTAAGGGAAGATTATTTTACATGTTACTTTTGATATTGCATTATAACTTGTATAGCTTTATAAGTACACTTACTAATACTGCTTTATTTGTCCCGACAGGCTGAACTTGATGATATGCTGAACGAGGCCAAGAACTCTGAGGACAAGGCCAAGAAGGCCATGGTTGACGCTGCTCGTCTGGCTGACGAACTCCGTGCTGAACAGGACCACGCTCAGAACTCAGAGAAGATGCGTAAGGGTCTAGAGGTGTCCGTCAAAGACCTTCAGTCCCGTCTTGATGACTTTGAGTCTTCAGCTCACAAGACCGGCAAGAAGGCCCTCGCTAAGCTGGAAGCTCGCATCCGCGAACTGGAAACCCAGCTGGACGACGAGGCTCGCCGCCACGCCGACGCCCAGAAGAACCTGAGGAAGTGCGAGAGGCGCATCAAGGAGCTCAGCTTCCAGTCCGACGAGGACAAGAAGAACCACGAGAGGATGCAGGACCTGGTGGACAAGCTCCAGCAGAAGATCAAGACCTACAAGCGCCAGATCGAGGAGGCCGAGGAGATCGCCGCCCTCAACCTGGCCAAGTATCGTAAAGCTCAGCAGGAGCTTGAGACAGTGCACAGGAGCTAAATTATTGTAAACAAGCCATATTTTATGTGCAATATATAGATAATACCAA